GCATATAATAGCTCTATTCCATCAGTAATGCTTGCATTCATTCCCGACCACTGACAATCCCTTCCTTCCTCATTTTCAATGCATTCCTACAGTAAAACATTAGCCATGCATTTACATTATATCCTCAATACCTGAGTGCTGATAATTTTTATGCTAAAAAAAAAGAAATGGAGGATTGACCTGTGTGAAATTTTCACTGTTTTTTTTCTAATCCTATTTGTAACCTAAAGTTACTTTGTAGTCTTTGTTTAGTGCTTGTTTAAACTGCCCACACTGAAGAAGAGGCCAGTCATAATGTGTGTCCTAAATAGTTTCCGTCAATTGGTTAGAGTTATTGTTAGCTCCTGTTTGGGACGAGGATAGTGAGTGTTTGGGAATGAAGTCATTAGCCCACTTAATCTGTAAGTATCAGCAACATTACAGCTGACATTTTGACCCAGGCTGCTTATTATTGAGCTGGGTAGATTTGGGGGTTGTTTGGGACAATTATTTTTTTTTTTCTTATCCACCCATTTCTCACCTAGCCAATTATTTTTATTTTGCCCATTTATTTCAGTTGCTTTCTTTTCACTTTTCACAAGCTGTGTATTTCTCCAATTGATGCTCCCTCTGTTTCTTTTCTTCGGCCTCCTTGCGCTCTCCCTCTTTGGCCTCCTCCTTGCGCTCTCCCTCTTTGGCCTCTTCCCCTTTGCCTTCTTGCTCTCTTTCCCCTCGGCCTCTTCCCCCCCTTTGCCTTCTTGCTCTCTTTCCCCTCGGCCTCTTCCCCCCTTTGCCTTCTTGCTCTCTTTCCCCTCGGCCTCTTCCCCCCTTTGCCTTCTTGCTCTCTTTCCCCTCGGCCTCTTCCCCCCCCTTTTTCTTGCTCTCTTTCCCCTCGGCCTCTTCCCCCCCCTTTGCCTTCTTGCTCTCTTTTCCCTCGGCCTCTTCCCCCCCCTTTGCCTTCTTGCTCTCTTTCCCTCTTCCTCTTCCCCCCTTTGCCTTCTTGCTCTCTTTCCCCTCGTCCTTCCCCCCCCCCTTTGCCTTCTTGCTCTCTTTCCCCTCAGCCTCTTCCCCCCTTGCTCTTCTTTCCTCTTTCGGCCTCTTCCCCCCTTTGCCTTCTTTGCTCTCTTTCCCCTCCCTCTTCCCCCCCCCTTGCCTTCTTGCTCTCTTTCCCCCTTGCCTCTCCCCCCCTTTGCCTTCTTGCTCTCTTTCCCTCGGCCTCTTCCCCCCCTTTGCCTGCTCTCTTTCCCCTCGGCCTCTTCCCCCTTTGCCTTCTTGCCTCTTTCCCCTCGGCCTCTTCCCCCCTTTGCCTTCTTGCTCTCTTTCCCCTCGGCCTCTTGCTCTTGATGCAAATGAGATCGAACTTTTATTGTCAATAACTCCAAAATGGTAGATTTCTGCAAACTTTTACTGTTATTTTCGAAATAAGAAAGTAAATTTACACTGAAATGGAAATTTTCAGGAAGCTTTAATTACAGTTGGTGTGCATGGCTTCAGCTGCAAATTACCCTTACCTAGTCTCCTTACAGTTTACATTATTTATGAACCAAGTTTTATGAAATTGGCTTGATTTAATAAAAAAAATTTTTTTTTGTTTTTTTTTTTTAAATGGTTTTAGTTGGGGGAGGGGGATCAAAAATTTTGTCTTTTGTTTTATCCATAGTGACGGAAGTGGAAGCAGTTTGTCATTTCAGAAATCCAAATTTTATCAATTAGACTTTTTTTTCAAAAATGTTATTTAATAATTTCACTAAAGTGACCAAAAGATAATGTAGCTTTTTGTCTCTAGAAGACGACTTTTTTGTAGGTTTTGCCACTTTCACTTAATTCTTATTTAGAATTGTAGAATTCTTTACAAAGGTTGTCCCAGAAACTCATCAATTTAGATTAATTCCCTAAAAAATTTGAAATGGAAACAGTCCCTTTAATTAGACAGTTACTGTTGCAACCTAGGGAAGTTTACTGAATAGAATAATCACATGAAGGTTGATAATGAACGATAATACTTAGGACAAGAACAACACATATAAGATTTGCCAGCAGCATGTATAAGAAGTAGTCAAGTGCTAAGAGTGAGTGAAGTGAATTCCACAATGAATCTCCAACTGCAGACCAACATACAGTATTTACTACTGTATTTATATGAATGGGGACATACCCATTATTGTCTGTAGGTATGCCACAGCAGTTACGAGAGATGATGAACCAATTCAGAATTGATTAGAGCCTCTAGGAGTTTCCCAAATGAGGCAGAAAGCTAATAGGCCGATAGTTGTATGGGTTCACTAGTGTTCTTAAAAACTGGAGCAACAATGACTTGCAGGAAGCATTTATTATACAGTTTAGAGAGAACAGGTGCTAGTTAAGGAGCACGCTTTTTAATGACTATTACAGTGATGCCATCAGGTTCAATTTCAAAAAGCCAAATTTTACGAATTAAACTTTTTTTTTTTAAAATGTTATTTAATAATTTCAGATATGAGCATTTGAGAGAAATGATGGTAAATTTGTAGTTTAAAAACTGTAAATTGACTTTGCTAACCAGATGCTTCCTCTGCTGCTAAATAGTATAGCACATCAAGCTATATGACAGTTCTGTGAAGAATACAGGTTTTAATCCTGTTGGAGGAAACATATTTTCTATGAAATTTCTAAGGCATTTAGGCTGGTAAATGTTAATACATTTTATCATAAACAGAACATTTACTTAAATATTTGTATCTATAAAAGAAAAAAACATAACCTATAATATATATATATATATATATATATATATTATATATATATATTCACATTATATTTGTTTCCTAATTTATTTTGTTGATAATTTTTTAAATGTTTAAATTAATGTCAAATGTTAACTGCCAAATATATCAATCTGTTTTTTTTTTTTTTTTTTTTTAAATTAATTGCAATATGCCCATATATGTTAATTTATTCTTCCTTTTTTTTCTTTCCCAACTTTTTTTTCCTCCCACCCCTGCTTCCACATTTGCTTTCTTATATCTTCTCTTTTTTTTCTCTTTGTCTCGTTTCCTGTGAGATGAATTATTAACTAGGTCAATGTTTGGTCCTTACGCACCTGCCTTACTCTTAAGTATTTTAATAAAAATAGATTTAAAATTATTCCTATCTCTCCCTTCCCTCTCTAATTTCAACCATATCTTTCATACCCCTCTCTCTATCACATTACAACAACTTAAAACTACCCCTGAAAAGTGTATAAAAATAATACTCAAATTTAAAACCATTTTTTTTTTTTTTTTTTTTTACCCTTGGAAATGTGATCTGATGAACCTGGGGAAATAAAATATAATCAATGAACCCTTAAAGTTGTCTGTTTTCTAATTTATATATATATATATATATATATATATATATATAGAGAGAGAGAGAGAGATTTTGAAAGATTTTAATAAGAGTGATATGTATTCGTTGCTTCGTTCTGATTGCTTTCTTGTAAGCCATCTTGGCTTGAAAGCAATTTCCCAAACTGAAAATTGAAAGCTTGAATAAAGAAAATATGGCTCCTAATCTCTCGACCTATAGACAATACCTTTACTGTTTAAAAACGGTGACATTTATCCAATTAATAAAAAAATGGAGATATTTATTCAAAATACACATAACCCCTAAATGGACATATACTACAATTTTAGGGGCATCTCAAGGCAGTGTAATGGTTAGCGAGCTTGTCTCGCTAGAACAATTACGACTGAGTAGTGAGTTCGATTCTCACCTGGATGCCCCCTACTTTCAACCTTGTGCCACATCTAACCTACGCTTGGAAAATCACCATATACTACAATTTTTAAAATTTAATCCTAAAATCTGCACGTCTTTTAAGCCTCTCTCAAATCAAAAATAGCTGGCTTTTATCTATGTCCCAATTCCAAACAATGAAATTGTTTTCTTTCTATGACACTAATATTGTCTAAAGACTATAACATATTTTATTATCAAGGTGGGATGTTTTAGTCATATGACCTTAGTGTTAATGAACTGGAGGTAATCCGCCAGCAAAATATCATAATTGGCCCATTTGAAGGAAACTTTTGTCCTCTTCATAAGAAAATCATGCTATCTGGAATATCCAGTACATACAGAGTTCATTGTAGCCAAAAATTTGCCTGTCAGATTTGCTTTTCTGCTGAATTTCTTGAGATATTTTATCAATTTACCTCAAGCAAGCCAGGAGAGCCATTAAAGGCACAAGGGGGCCCACTGGAAGTGAAAGAAAAGGAAAAGACTTCAGAAGCAACTCGTTACACAATAATAGTATAAATTTCAGAGTTTAGGCCGACCTTAGAAGTACAGAGTTGAAGTAGAATTTAGAAATAATCGGAAACTAAGTCCTAAGCAAGAAACCAGGAATAAACCTCTACTCCTGTTCAAAAGATGGGAGTGTGAAGTGGGCATTATAGAAATATAAAGAATTATAAGAGATTATAAAACAAGATTATTATAAAAGAATTATAATTATATATTGTAGGTAGGCCCAATATTTTAAAAATTCAGACCCCCCCCCCAAAAAAAAACCCTCCTCCCGTTTTCTTTTTAACTGATGCGGAGATACATGCTAGATTTTTGTTCAATCTAATTAAATTCAAAAATTTATTGCTTGGCCCCATATTCTTTTCGGACTGCATCCCGTCATGATATAGACAATAATGGCTCTCCACAACTTCCTATCTCATGTAGCTAATTATACGTGGAACTCAGTTTTAATCATATGTGGACTTGGTTGTTTAGAATTTAAATCTATGGAGCTTGAAACCATTGTCATGTAATCTGAAAAATATTTAAAAAAATTTTTTTTTTTTTTTTTTTTTTATTTTGTCAGTGGGTTATGATGATGCTTTTATTTATAAAAGAAAAAAAATGTCCTGTAGGTTGTTGAAAGAATTTAACTAAGTACTTTTTGTTTCTTTTCCAGGTTGGAATTATCAAGAAAACCTTGGAGAAATGTTTAGAGCTTAAAGTATTTGACTTGAAAGATCCCACTGCATTGATTGATGGTGGAGATGTCTTATTCACTGGTAAGGGATTCATTTAGAATCATCTTTTTTACTTTATCTTCTTTTTTTTTTTTTAACTTTATCTTCTTTTTTTTTTTACTTTTTTTACTTCATTTTTTTTTCTTTCTTTTTTTTTTTTCTTTTTTTATCTTCTTTCTTTATCTTCTTTCTTTATCTTCTTTCTTTATCTTTTTTCTTTACTTCTTTCTTTATCTTTTTTCTTTCTTTTCTTTCTTTCTTTTCTTTTTTCTTCTTTCTTTCTTTACTTCTTTCTTTCTTTCCTTCTTTCTTTCTTTTACTTCTTTCTTTCTTTACTTTTTCTTTCTTTTTCTTCTTTCTTTCTTTTACTTCTTTCTTTCTTTACTTCTTTCTTTCTTTACTTTTTCTTTCTTTTTACTTCTTTCTTTCTTTTACTTCTTTTACTTTATCTTCTTTCTTTTTTTCTTCTTTCTTTACTTTATCTTCTTTCTTTTACTTCTTTCTTTCTTTACTTCTTTCTTTCTTTTTTACTTCTTTCTTTCTTTTCTTTCTTTTTTACTTCTTTCTTTCTTTACTTCTTTCTTTCTTTTTACTTTTCTTTCTTTACTTCTTTCTTTCTTTTATCTTCTTTCTTTCTTTATTCTTTCTTTCTTTTTACTTCTTTCTTTCTTTACTTCTTTTTTCTTTCTTTTCTTTCTTTCTTTCTTCTTTCTTTTTTTCTTTTCTTCTTTCTTTCTTTACTTCTATCTTCTTTCTTTCTTTCTTTTTTCTTTACTTTTCTTTTTTTTTTTTTTTTTACTTTTCCATTTGAATGATAGATTTTTTTGGCAATGTTTAGCCTTCATGCCTGTGAAAAAAATGGTTTGTTAAAAGGATGGTTTTACTCTTGGTACCACTATTATTTGGACTATCTTCACTCATTGGCAAATTCATTTTTTTTTTTTTTCACTGCAAAAGAGACTCTAAAATTTCCTATACTAATCTTTGTCACCCTACTGACTGAAAGGAAAAACAAACAGAAAAAGATTTTGAACATTCTAAAAAAGATAAAAAAAAATATATATATATTTAATAATCCAAAAATCCTTTGGTTGTTCCTCTTAATAATAGCAAAGATTTTGATGATAAAACTATTTTTAAGTTTGTGGTATTTTTTTTCATCACGGTATACTAATTTTTTATTGAATTAATGGAAGTACTCTACCCTTATATATATATATATATATATATATATATATATATATATATGTGTATATATATACACACACACACACATTGGATGCTGAAAAGTTTTAGGCTTACCCTCTAGAATCTTGGTTATTTGATCAGATTTTTTGTTGAATTACTTGGCACAGCCCATATCTAAAGTCTTATCTATTAAATTGCAATGACTCTTCATCTTGTATGACATGACATGATGAAGGTTCCAAAAATACTCCATCACTCTCAAACAGTGTTCATTCACAAAAGCTGCTTATCATCTGTCAACTTGGACACATTTTCTCTCCCAAAGCCTCTTAACAAGGAGGAGTTGTTTTTAAGCTTGTTTTATGAGTGGTACATTATTATTATTATTTTCAGATGCCAAATAAAATAATATACAAGGTAGACACAGATTAATTTTCTATATTTATTATTGCTCAGTACATTTTAGATTGATTTGGGTTTCTTGCATATTTTTTTTTTATTTACTTTTCCTTGGTTTTTTATTTATTTATTTTTTTTCATTTTTTTGTTGTTTCTCTTTTTTTCTTCATTTTTTTGTTGTTTCTCTTTTTTTCTTCATTTTTTTGTTGTTTCTCTTTTTTTCTTCATTTTTTTGTTGTTTCTCTTTTTTTCTTCATTTTTTTGTTGTTTCTCTTTTTTCTTCATTTTTTTGTTGTTTCTCTTTTTTCTTCATTTTTTTGTTGTTTCTCTTTTTTCTTCATTTTTTTGTTGTTTCTCTTTTTTCTTCATTTTTTTGTTGTTTCTCTTTTTTCTTCATTTTTTTGTTGTTTCTCTTTTTTCTTCATTTTTTTGTTGTTTCTCTTTTTCTCCCTGTTGTTTCTTTAATTTCTTGTCCTTATAACTAATATAAACATTAAGTGCAATAAAAAAGAATTTCTTGAAATTTCATAAAATTAAATGTGAGCAATGTAAAAAAAACAACAATTAAAAAAAAATACCATAATTCCCCATGTATAAAATGCCTTCATCCATAATACACACCCTTAAAATTGTGCTGAAAGTGTGGGAAAAGATTTTGATTATAAAATTGTTTTTATTAAGTTTGGGGTATTTTTTTCATCATGGATCATCATTTTTTAGAAAATCTTTGGAAGTACCTATTATTATTATTATTATTATTATTATTATTATTATTATTATTATTATTATTATTTATAAAATCTAAAATCTAAATGGCACAGCCACTTGTATACCAGTCTACTAGGGCAGCTAGCTAATCCATGCTGTTAGTTTCCTCCTCAGGTACATTTTGTGTATGTTCAACACCCACAGAGCCCACCTGTGGTTTATACTGCAACTATGCTGAGCAGACCTTAGTTACAGATTCTGGGAGAGTGTATGTTATCTAGCATGGTCAATAGTCGGAACAAGACCAGCATGCTCAAACTCTCGGTCACGATGACTTGAGACTTCATGCTAGGACAACCACCTAGGGTTCCATCTACCAGATTTCACTCACAAGGCTTAGGTTAACCTGTGGTATGGTTTTCAGGCACTTTCCAAAGAGATCACCCCCTCCAGACTGATAACATCAAGAAGACACCTTCATGACAAATTGACGCCTGGTCAGATTTGAACCAAGGCCTCATGGTCAGAAAACAAATACTCTAACCACTTGGCCATGTACCCAATATATATATATATATATATATATAACTTTATATTTAAGTTTATATATATATATATATATATATATATATATACTTTTATTTAAGTTTTTATATATATATATATATATATATATATATATATATAACTTTATATTTAAGTTTATATATATATATATATACTTTATATTTAAATTTATATATATATATATATATATATTACTTTATTTTAGGTTTATATATATATATATATATATATATATATATATATATATATTACTTATATTTAGGTTTATATAATATATATATATTACTTTATATTTAGGTTTATATAATATATATATATATATATATATTATTACTTTATATTTAGGTTTATATAATATATATATATATATTAAAAATATTTGGTTTATATAATATATATATATATATATATATATATTACTTTATATTTAGAGTTTATATAATATATATATATATATATATTACTTTATATTAGGTTTATATAATATATATATATATATTACTTTATATTTAGTTTTATATAATATATATATATATATATATTACTTATATTTAAGTTTATATAATATATATATATATATTACTTATATTTATTTTATATATATATATATATATATATATTACTTTATATTTATTTATATATATATATATATATTTATATTTATTTATATATATATATTACTTTATATTTAGGTTTATATATATATATTACTTTATATTGAGTTTATATATATATATATATTACTTTATATTTAGGTTTATATATATATTACTTTATATTTAGGTTTATATATATATATATTTACTTTATATTTAGGTTTATATATATATATATTACTTTATATTTAGGTTTATATATATATATACTTTATATTTAGGTTTATATATATATATATATATATATTTATATTTATTTATATATATATATATATTACTTTATATTTGGGTTTATATATTACTTTATATTTAGGTTTATATATATATATATTACTTTATATTTAGGTTTATATATATATATATATATATATATATTACTTTATATTTAGGTTTATATATATATATATATATATATTTATATTTAGGTTTATATATATATATTATATTACTTTATATTTAAGTTTATATATATATATATTTACTTTATATTTAAGTTTACATATATATATATATATATATATATATATATTATATATTTATATATATATATATATATATATATATATATATATATTTATATTTATTTATATATATATATTACTTTATATTTAGTTTATATATATATATATATATATATATATATTACTTTATATTTAAGTTTATATATATATATATATAGCACATAGGAACCACTATTTCTGGCTATACCAAAAGGACAGCACTCATCATAACAGGTGCCTATTTGCTACTGCTAATAACAAATGTAAGCGTGTCCTCAAAGAAGCTAAGTCCCTGTTTGCTGAGAGAATGAGGCACTGCATAGCCTCTAAAAACTTTGGCTCTCGTGACTACTGGCATCACTGAATATAGAGTACTAAATAAGTCCAAGGTCTCTATTCTCCCCTCTTCAATTGATTTAAGGTTTTATCATCCTCTGCTGATAAAGCTGAATGATTTACCTGTAAATTCTCCTCAAATTCTACTCTTGACTCACCTGGTGTATCCCTGCCCAACTTTCCACTTAGAACTGATTCTCTTGAGTGACATGCATATAACACCTTCCATTGTTTCTGCTATCATCTCTAACCTTGATCCCAACAAAGCATATGGACCCAATGACATCCCTGTAATAGTCATTAAGAAGTATGCTTCCGAACTAACTCCTGTTCTTTCTAAACTGTATAAAAATGCCTCGCTGTCTCCTACTTTCCTGCTGTTGTTCCAGTTCTTAAGAACTCTGGTGAACCATCTGACCTATCCAACTATTGCGCTATAAGACTTCTGCCTCGTTTTGGGAAACTTCTAGAGACCTTAATCACTGCTGAATTGGTTCATCATCTCTCATCACAAGGCCTTTTCTCATAATTTTCTCATCACAAGACCTTTTCTCATTGCTCGTAATAAAGGCAAGCAAGTCCTCGAAGAAGCTAAGTCCGTGTTTGCTGAGAGAATGAAACCCTGCATAGCCTTTAAAAACATTGGCTCTCGTGACCACTGGCGTCACTGTAATAGGGTACTAAATAAGTGTAAGGTCTCTATTCCCCGACTCTTTAATCGGTCTGTTATCATCCTCTGCTGATAAAGCTGAATGTTATGCTATGTGAATTCTCCTCAAACTCTACTCTTGATTCATCTAGAGTATCCCTGCTTAACTTCCCACTTAGAACTGAGTCTCTGTTGAGTGATATGCTTATAATCCCCTTCCATCGTTTCTGCTATCATCTCTAACCTTGATTCCCACAAAGCATGTGGACCCAATGACATCTCTGTAATAGTCATTAAAAACTGTGCCCCCCCCAAACTAGCTCTTGTTTTCTCTAAACTGTATAATAAATTCTTCGCTGCCTCCTGCTTTCCTTCCTTCCTTCTGGAAGTTATTGTCTCTTGTTCCAGTTTTTAAGAACTCTGGTGAACCCATCCAACTATCGACCTTTTCTCTGGCCTTCTTCAGGTGCTTGTCAGTCCAGTTAATCATCTTGCTTTATTTAGGATTTAGTACTTTGCATCATTTATAGATATTACTTCTCCTTTTACTGTATATGGAATCCCCCTCAAAATATAGGGGTTTATATATTAGATATATTTGAAATTGTAGTAGCCTGGCTCTCAATTTCAGTCAAAATTGTTGTAGATGTTGCCAAAGAAGGATATGACTACACTACCAAGAAATCCAAATTCAACTTGCTAATTAATATTTCAAATTCCTGTTTTTTTTTTTTGGGGGTTCTTTTTTAAATTTAAACAAGTTGAATTTCTATCCAAATGTGAAAATTAAAGAAAAATATGAGTAGGTCATATCAAACTGAAAAGGTATGTCAAGTTTTTAGATATTTGAACATCCAAGAAAATGTTTTACTTTTGACCATCAAGGGAGATGGCCGGCTTACTTTATTATCAGAGTGTAATGTGCCATTAAAAAATTAGTTTTTAATTAAAAAAAATAAAAATTTGGTGGGGTACAGGATCCAAGAATATATAAAAATTAATCAAAACTACTTTTCTCCTCTTTCTGTCATTCATTTCCATTGTGTGGATCTATCACGCATGAACATACATACATACATACATACATACATACAAAAATACAAATCACATACAACGCCAAGCATTCATTGGTTAGTAAATCACTACTACACTTCTACAGGCACTTTACAAATCGCAGCAATGCGACAATTTTGTAACCGCTCTATTTTTATGGAGTCAATTTTGTGCACTTTTGGGAGAAACGGATCCCAGAAGCTTTCTTGAGTCTTCCCAAAGCTTGCTTGCTGATTGGTCAGTGCCAACCAATCAGATCTCATCACAGGGCGTTTTCTCATAATTTTCTCCTCACAGGACCTTTTCTCATTGCTCATAATAAAGGCAAGCAAGCCCTCGAAGAAGCTAAGTCCCTGTTTGCACGTGAAGAATAATTTTTCCTGCACGATTTGGAGCCTATATTTGCTTATTTAAGCCAAGATTTTCTCATCTCATTTAGTGAAAATTCAACTGCCAAATGAATCCATGACAGTTGAAACCATGCACCAACCTTCTCACTCACACACACACACACACTCACATGCTGAACATACCTTGTATACACTCACAAAAACTCTTCTTGCACAACAATATCTTTCAAGAACAAACGTTACAAGAGACTCTCATTCACTTTTTCCAGTGAACTTTGAACCAAATATCTTAGTGTTCAGTGAGGAATAGTTAACAGTTAAAGAGACAACTCTTGGTTAATTCAACCTTGTCTTACTTAAATGCATGCTTTCTTTCACATTGTTGTTTGATGTTGTACATCTTGTTAAAATACATGTTTTATGTGTAACAATGTCTTTTGGTTATCCTTCTTGCGTGAGCCGTGTATCGTAATCTAAAGTTAAATTAATGTGGTGAAGTCCGCCACACCATCACCCTCCCTATCACTCCCCTATGCATCTCCCCCCGTCACTCTCCCTCCCATTCTCCCTGCACTATCTGTCTACCCTCCTTCTCCAGCAACCGTTACTGTCTGTCCCCACCTTCTTCCGTACCCCGTCACTGTCTGCCGCACCAGTCACTGTCTGTTGCCTCCACCTTTTGCTTTAACCTATCAAGCTTCCTATCATAAGTATGAGAGATACCCAGTGAGATTCAACTTCACTACAGCAAGAATCATTTTTGAGATTAGCTTGGTAACCATTACTCTATAGCAAGATTCAAAGTGGGAAGTTGTGCAAATTCAATTTCTGGTTAAGGCGGTGGAGAACTTGGAGAAGGAATTAGGCAGGAGATAACTGATAACTGACATCCATTAGACATGGCACGTGGAACTAGAACAGTCTACCCCAGTGAGGAAAATAAAGGGTTCAGTTCGACATTCCAACCACCTGAAAAATGCAGAAGTGTACAACGGCCAAAATGTAATAAATATAGCAACAAAGATGAGGACAATAGTTCGAATAATCTAAATAGTGTACATAATAACTCATCTCGGAAATATAGACAGATACTAAAATAGTTGTTTTTAAGCTTTTAATAAAATAGTTGTTTTTAAGCTTTTAATAAAATAGTTGTTTTTAAGCTTTTGATAAAATAGTTGATTGTTTTTAAGCTTTTGATAAAATAGTTGATTGTTTTTAAGCTTTTGATAAAATAGTTGATTGTTTTTAAGCTTTTGATAAAATAGTTGATTGTTTTTAAGCTTTTGATAAAATAGTTGATTGTTTTTAAGCTTTTAATAAAATAGTTGATTGTTGTAAACTCTATAAAATAATAGTCAGTTTTCAGCTTCTTGCTTTCCTGTTACCACTAATCTTCAAAAATTTAAATGCATCATCACCTGCCTATTTTTTATCCTGGTTGTTTAATGTCTTCCCTCTTTTGATTGTTTTCTTGATTCCTTTCATTTTGAGTAACCCCTTGCATCTTAGTGGTTTTATTACCTTACTTGGGGGGAAATAAAAATTGTAAAAACTAATAAAATGTTAGTAAAATCTGGAAATTAATAGAATTTCAGTTGGGCTTGAAAACTTGTCATTAATAAATGTGTTGGTCAGTTATGTGCCATGCATGATACACGCATAGGCAATCATGTATCTTTTGATACATGACTGATGAGGCAGATTTTTTTTCCCCCCCACAGTAGGCATACTGTCAAGAATTGGGAAGGGGGAGACAACATCAGTACTATGCAGTTCTCAATGCCTTAAGCATGGTTTCAAATGTGTTTATTAAAAAAATACATCTTTTTTCGTTCTCTCTTTTGTCCTCCCAAGTTAACTTTATTTTTATGTTTACTGTTAACTTTAAAGTTTAAATGATACATCCCACAACTCTCTCTCTTTTCAATTTTTCTCTTTTCTCTCTCTCTCTCTCTCTCTCTCTCTTTTCTGTTTCTCTTCCTCTTTCTTTTCCTCTTTTCTCTCTTTTTTCCTCTCTCTTTCTCTCTTTTTTCCTCTCTCTTTTCCTCTCTTTCTCTCTTTTTTCCTCTCTCTTTTTTCTCTCTTTTTCTCTCTTTTTCTTTTCTCTCTTTCTTTTTTCTCTCTTTCTTTTCTCTCTCTTCCTTTTTCTCTCTCTTCTTTTTCTCTCTCTTCCTTTTCTCTCTCTTCCTTTTTCTCTCTTTTCTTTTTCTCTCTCTTCCTTTTCTCTCTCTTTTCTTTTCTCTCTCTTCCTTTTTCTCTCTTCTTTTTTTTCTCTCTTCCTTTTTCTCTCTCTTCCTTTTCTCTCTTTCCTTTTTCTCTCTTTCCTTTTCTCTCTCTTTTTCCTTTTTCTCTCTTTTTTTTCTCTCTCTTCCTTTTCTCTCTCTTCCTTTTCTCTCTTTTTCTCTTTTTTTCTCTCTTTTCTTTCTCTCTCCTTTTCTCTCTTTCTTTTTTTCTCTCTTCCTTTTTCTTTTTCCTTTTTTTCTCTTTCTTCCTTTCTTTTTTCTCTTTCTTCCTTTTTCTCTCTTTCTTTTTCTCTTTTTTCTCTTTCTTTTTTTCTCTTTTCTTTTTTTTTTTTTTTTTTTTCTTTTCTTTTTTTCTCTTTTCTTTTTTTTCTCTTTTCTTTCTCTTCTCTTTTTTTTCTCTTCTCTTTTTTTTCTCTTCTCTTTTTTCTTCTTTTTTCTCTTTTTCTTTCTCTTTTCTCTCACTTTCTCTTTTCTTTCTTTTTCCTATTCTTTTTTTTCTCTCTCTGTCTCTTCCTCTCTCTCTCTCTCTCTAATTTTTATCTACCTAGTCTCCTGTTAGCTGCGGGATGTGTCACCTAATGTTTAAAGCTATCTTTCATCTAGTAACAATGCTATGAAAAAATTGATTAGCCCACTCATTCCTACAAGGCACTGACCCCAGCCTGTTTTGTGACACACCTTAAATATTATAATAGTGATATTATCCTGGAATTTGATGCCTGCTGATCTAAGAACGCTTCACAGAATTCTAACTTTGTCCTTGAACTTGTCTCTTTTGCTTGAGGTCATGTTTTCTTCCTCTCCAATGAAAGGATTCTGTTTGTGTTACCCTAAAATGAAATCATTGTTTTATTATTTGAAAAGTATGTCAGATCTTTAATGAACTCTTTATTATTCATTAAAAAAAGTAGTTTCTGTAATATTAGGTGAAATCATAATTGATTTCTGATTTCGGGAATCAAATATGAATGACGAATATATCATCCTAACTTCTAATCATATATGGCATTTAAAAATAACTTTGATGTACACGAACATACCTTTATACCTTTAGTTTTTGAAAGGACATGGCAGCATAAACAGTAGATTAACAAAGCAAGACTGCATACAAAAAAATTTGGAAGTCTGTTGGTCAGTTTGATTCCACCTGACACATTCACCAGACTTTATTACCTTTCTTGATTCCTGCAAAATGATTTGATAAGGAAAACTTTGTCTAATAAAAAGTCAGAAAGTTTTTCACATCAATACCTGTAGAATTTTATTCAAAAGGTATTGAAATGCAAATAACAGTGGAATATATAATTGATTAAAATGTACGTGACCTTATTTTTTATTTTTTTGAAGAATTGTCAAACAAAAGAAATTTATTTATAACTCAACCTACCACACACACACACATATATATATATATATATATATATATATATATATATATATATATAGGTCATCGCATAAGTTCTGTCAGAATTTTGAATAAAGAAAACAAGTGACCAAATGTTACATTTAATTATAGATTCAATCAATGAGCTTTAATTGTTGCATTAGGTGGTAAGAATTCAAAGTGGATTATTCCTTGGCGATCCCACCAGATTGAAAGAAGAACCTTTTGCCCATGAAGTTCCATTCTCAGCTGTGATAGGGGTTTTTCCCCTTTACCAAGCCACTGTCTACGACACTTAACATTTTTTGTTGCCAGTCACAAGTCTATCCAAAAAAGGTGAAACAAGTTGGCGAGAATGGAGAGAAGAGCAGATATCAACTCTGGATTTGAGGTTGTTTTCAGATAATTCATGAGGCACCCATTTTCCAAGTTTAGGAACTTTTCCAAGTTGTTGAAGATGGCGATATGGTTTGAACTGAGAACCACTGCCAATTGATCAACTGATAAAGCAGGATTTTCTTCAAGGGCTGCTTCAAGAATCTTTTCATCAAACTCAACTGGACGTCTGATTCGAAGTTCATCTTCAAGGGTGAAATCTCCACCTCTGAATTTTGCAAACCATCTTCTGCAAGTTCTTTCATTCACACATTCCTCTCCATAAACTGAGTAAATGTTTCTAGCCGCTTCGGCTGCTGAGTTTCCTTTCTTGAACTCATAAAGCATTATATGCCTCAAATGATTCTTGGGTACTTCCATGTTAGCAGGGTTTTAATCAAACAAAATTTAATTTTATTGTTCTCTGAAATAAAATTTGATCAGTTTAAATGCATCTAAACATAAAAAATAATGTTCAGTTCCATTAGACATCATAAAATACTCTTTCAATTTTCGTTCATTTTAACAAAAAGTTAAAATTCGGATAGAACTTATGGGATGACCTTATATATATATATATATATATATATATATATATATATATATTTTTTTTTTTTTGGGGGGGTTGTTTTATTTATTAGAAAATATATTCAGTTTAAATACAGTCATTTGTTTGAACCAGCATTTATGATACTACTTTGTTACATGTCTCTTCGCTGATGGCAAGATGATCAAATTTCAAACCTAAATTATTTGTTCATTTAAAATACTACTTTTATTAGAAAATCAGTTCAAATACAGAAGTAATTTATTTGAACTGGCATTTATGATATTAATTTGGTACATGTCATTTCGCTAATGGCAAGATAAGCAAATTTCAAATCTAAATTGTTTGTCTATTTAAAATACAACATTTATTAGAAAATATACTCAGTTTAAATACAGGTGTTATAAAAATGGCTTCAAAGAGTCAGATATTTTAGCTTATACAATTTTTCTATTAATCAGTGGTTTTTGCCAGACAGGAAAATTAGACTTCATAATATTTCAATTTCTTTCAAATTGAGTGTGTGCGCGCATTTATGTGTGCATGTATATTTTAATTCAACGGCAAACCTAAAAATATTTCTACAAAATTTAGAATAAAAAGCTTAAAAAAATTCAATTTATTACTGAATAGTTCTCAAAAAGCTAAAAAAAAAAAAAATTTAATAATTTAAACTTTTTATTTATTTATTTATTTTTTTTTCAAATTTTGCTTTACTTGCTCAGCCCAGGGTAGGCACCAACTAGACTGGGTAGAAGGGGAATGTATTATTCTTATGTCTTATTTGAAACACAGTCACACCTACACAATATGTGATGGACAGAGAATCAGCTCTTCTTTTTATAATATAGATTTTTTTTTTCTTTTTTCCAGGGAAAGAAATTTTTGTCGGAATCGGTCAAAATACTAATGAAGCTGGTGCCATTGCAGTGGCCAACCTCTTTGAAGATTACTCAGTCATTTCACTCTCGCTGCCAGGGAGCCTGCATCTGAAGAACTTAATTTCTATGGCTGGCAAAGGCGTCATTGTCATAGGTAATAGCTCAGAATCCAAGCACCTCTTCCAGGTACGTAATCAATATTATTTTTTAAACAGAGTCCAATAACGGACGGCTAATGACATTTGTGCCTTAAAAAGTCCATACACTGCAAGTAGAATAGTTTAATCTTGGTATCAAATATAGTATAATTACTTTTTACTTTCTGTTTGAATTTCTGGGATTAGCAGATACAGTTTAACCCGGATATAAGAGAGTTGTCGGAACTGGAGAAGAAGTCTCTTATATCCGGGTTTCTCTATATCCGGGTTTGGTCTATTTTATATACATTAACACATGCTCTAATTTGGGACCAGAAAAATCTCTGGGTTTCTCTTATATCCGGGTTTCTCTTATATCCAGGTTTCTCTTATATCCGGTTTTGGTCTATTTTATATACATTAACACAGGCTCTAATTTGGGACCAGGAAAATCCATATCCGAAAATCTCTCTCTAATTTGGGATATCCTTATATCCGGGTTTCTCTTATATCCGGGTTTGGTCTATTTTGGTCTATATACATTAACACAGGCTCTAATTTGGGACCAGAGAAAATCTCTCTTATATCCGGGTTTCTCTTATATCCGGGTTTCTCTTATCCGGGTTTCCTTATATCCGGTTTCTTTCTCTATATCCGGTTTGGTCTATTTTATATACATTAACACAGGCTCTAATTTGGGACCAGAGAAAATCTCTCTTATATCCGGGTTTCTCTTATATCCGGGTTTCTCTTATATCGGGGGTTTATCCGGGTTTGGTCTATTTTATATACATTAATTTGGGACCAGAGAAAATCTCTTATATCCGGGTTTCTCTTATATCCGGCTCTAATTTGGGACCAGAGAAAATCTCTCTTATATCCGGGTTTCTCTTATATCCGGGTTTCTCTTATATCCGGGTTTGGTCTATTTTATATACATTAACACAGGCTCTAATTTGGGACCAGAGAAAATATCTTTCTCTTATATCCGGGTTTCTCTTATATCTTTGGTCTATATATACATTAACACAGGCTGTATCATTATTTACATTATTTACATGCAGACCGTTATCCTCATCTTATCCCAACGTTTCGACTATTAAGCTTTCTAGCTTTCATCAGCTGTATCTTGATCTGAGTAACCTACAGCTTAAGTTTAAGGCTCCAAACTCTCCACAGGGAATTGTCCCATAGGACAATATCCTGGTGGATTAAAATGTTGGTTATATAGTAATTGTGAGTTCAATTCCTGGGTCAGGCAGTGGGTACTTTGGCTCAATGGAAACAAGCTGAACATTAATTAAAATAAGAACTAGACAAGATATCCCTAGACATGTTCAGTGGAACCAGAACAGTTTACCCCCCCCCCTAGATTAAATAAAGAGTTTGGTTCAGTATTTGCTGGATGATATGTACCTGATGAAGGCCAGAAACGGTGTGATAATAACATGAGAATAATAGTCCACATGTAAATAGTCTTAATGTTTTATATTGTTTAATAAAACAAAAATGCCCCCCCCTAAAAATTGGTACTGACAGCAACAAAATAAAGGGGGCATATGTGTATCTTGTCCCTTGAATTGCCTGAAGGTGGTGAGACAGCTGTATAACAAACCAGGAGCCCACATGAAACTTTCAGTTGCAGGAAAGCTACAATATTTGAGTATTTTACACACATATATATATATATATATATATATATATATATATATATATATATATATATATATAAATCCATTACTCCACTGTTTCTCCTAGCAGCTTGGTTGAGGAATCGGAGAGCCGAGTTAAATTCAGTCGAATCCATTACATTCAGTTCGTGCTAATACCCTTGGGAAAGGTGTGAATTCTCTTTGTCTCCCTCAAAGCTATGGGTAAATAGCAGGGCAGACTGGGTTCTATAGCCTTGGATGGCAACTGGTCTAGGAGAAGGACAACTCTGAATTCAAAAACCTGCGGAGAGTCATTTGCAGACCTTGTGGCACATAGTGCAACCACTATAATCAAATCTCATGTGCTGTTGTCAGGCTGTCGGTTTCCTGAGAACTGATCTGCTTGACCCTCATACGTCAATTTCGATGGGAGAATCGAGAGAGTATATATATATATATATATATATATATATATATATATATATAATATTAATGCATATCTTTACTTTGTATGAGCTAATGTTTTCTTTTTTTCTCAATATAAAAAAGCTTTAACATTAATAATACTAGTAATACAACTAAAGTAATTGATTATTTTTCTCCATAATTACATTGTTTTTTTCTCCATATAAAAAATATATATATATATATATATATATATATATATAAATATATATATATATATATATATATATATATATATATATATATATATATATATATATATATGTTATATTACTAATAATAAAACTAAAATAATTGATTATATTTTAATACTAATAATAAAACTAAAGTTTTTGATTATTTTTTCCCTAATTATATTGTTTTTTTATATATATAAATATATATATATATATATATATATATATATATATATATAGTGTGTTATAATATTAATAATAAAACTAAAGTAATTGATTATTTTTTCCCATAATTACATTGTTTTTTCTCCATATAAAAAGCTATATATATATATATAGTGTGTGTGTGTTATAATATTAATAATAAAACTAAAGTAATTTTTTTTTCCCATAATTCCTTGTTTCTTGTACATTTTCAGAACTTTTTCAAAGAATTTCTTTTTTTTCTTCCTTATTTCAGCAAATAAAGGAAAAAACCAGTTGCCAATATTACAAGATAGAATTTGACAGTGATGTACCTGCTAATATGCTCTATGTGAATGGGCGTTTAATCCATCGTACTAGAGATGAAATTGGAGCTGCTAACTGCAGTGTAAGTTATTTAGAAATTTTTTTTTTTTTTTAAATTGATTGTATTTTTTTTTTCCTTAATGATTTCACCCCAAGCAAGACAATGAAGCCACTAAAATGCAAGGTGTTACTAAGTGAAATAATGAGAAAAAGAAAAACTTAATAAAGAGAGAACAATGAAAGAACAGGAATTAAGAAAATAGAAGATAACGATTGTCATTGCATTTAAAATTTTGAAGATCAAAGTTGACTGGGAAGCAAGACATCTTTATGGTAATATTTTCTGCTTCCTTTAAAGAAACATTCAGTATTCATCCTGATGTTGTTTGAAATTTATATCTCTGATGAAGCCTTAATAAATGTGAAGCATCTTTGAATTATTAACACTTCCTTATCTTATCCTATCATTCATATATATATATATATATATATATATGAAATATGTTGTAGCGGTTCCAACGAGAGAAAAGTATGTATATTGAAGAGAAGAGAGGTGCCGCAAAGGTTTTTGGTTGTAATGTGGATTTGTTTAGAAAAAATATTATGCTTTGTTTTACATAATTTTACGACATGTGTTTCTGGTCTCGCGACCGTTTTCAGGTAAAAGCGGAGATTTCCACATATTATTAAAAATAATTAATTTTTCCTTATGTTCAATGTTAAATATTCTCGATATGAGACATTCTCTGTTTGTGTGTTGGTAATCCGAATTTAATACAATAAAAACATTTTACATTGCTACACAAAAACTTTCATGTTTCAGTACTAAGATTATACTTCGTTAGTCAATGGTAGATAACTTGTAATAAAAATGATTTTATTAGGGAAATTTAAAAGTAAATCATTACCTTTTTTGGAAGTTAAAGGGAGTGCATAAGGTCAGATTTAAAAATATACTTATGGGTATGTCTAGGTTAACCAATTCAATGCCAGATCTATGCTAAAATATAAAAATACCATCAGAGGGTGGAGGTGGGTGGATTATTTTTGAAAGTCAAGAAAACTTAGACATGTCATGTAATGATAATAGGGAACATTACAGTTACATATGTATTATGGATGTATCCAAGTATGATAAAATATATATATTGAATTCATCACAAGCAAGGCTGTAAAACTACTAAGACACAAATGGTTACTGGGTCTGGAAGAATTAGAAAACAGAAACATTACTAACGAACAAGAACAATAGAAGATTAATCAAGAAGTCAGTAGATAATGATTGACATTGTATTTAATGTTTTGAAGATCAAAGTTGACTGGAAAGCAAAATGTCTTTATGGTAATATTCACTGTTTCCTTATAAGAAAACATTCATCCTTCATTGACCAAGTAACCAGTGCTGTTCGAGTTAGGCATCATTCCCTAGCCATCAGGCAGGGATCAAAGTGTAATATCTGTTCTCCTAATCTCTAATGCTAATTGTAGTATTAGTCATTTTTTATATAGATATTCAGCGTTCATTGACTGAGCAGTTAATACTATTGTCAGATTCAATTTATAAAATCTTTCTCTTAAAACAATTTCTCAAGTCCAGTAGCTGTTATTGCTCTTTCCAGTATTGATAGATGTTTTCCTTACTAGGCTTTTATTTGAAGTAGTGTGGAATATCAACATATTGATTTTGTCATTATTTTTTTTTTGTGTTATATATATATATATATATATATATATATATATATATATATGAAAATTTGGCCTTTCATTCCAAGCAGAAGATACCAACCTAACAGACACTGCCAGTTCTAATATAAATATATAATATTTGTCTTTCATTAAAAGTGTGTGTGTATATATATATATATATATATATATTTTTTGAGTGCTATCTGATGATCCTGAGTCCTTTAAAAGGGCTCTGGTGAAATAAATTATTATAATGGAACCTTAAAATGGTCTGTTTTTTTCTTTAAAATATTAGCTCTGGATTTACATTGAGCTCTCAGGATTTCATCCTCCTTGGGATTACCCATATGGATTACCAAGTTTTTCATAACTTAATATATGTGATAAACAGTTTACCGCAGATGGAAACAGCACCCTACTCATCTGCATAGTCATGAATCGAGAGACGTCATCACCCAAATGTATATCACATATGGTACTTAACTAACTTTATCTATCTCCTTTCCCTCTAAGCTACAAGATGAATAACAGCACATACTGGGTTCTATAGCCTTGGTTGGCGACCAGTTTATGGCAGAAAAAAATGGAAACCTACTCTTCTGTATAGTCAATCATGAATCATAAGAGACATGATTGTCTGTGCGTGTATCACGTATGGCACTTAACTGACTTTATTTCTCTCCCCCTCCTCACTATAGGTTGAATAACAGGACATACTGGATCCTATAGCCTTGGTTGGCAACCAGCTTAATGCAAAAACAAATAGCAGCCTATTCTTCTTCCTAGTTTAAGCTCATATGAACAGCTATATAAACTGTGTGTATAATTTTTCTATTTTTGTCTTCTTTTTGTCCCTTCAGATTCTCGATGAGAAGATCATGTATACCCGACATGAAGTAGACCTCCATGAGAATGACAAGTTGAACCGGACCCTTAGTAGCATGTGCCTGCTAGTTGGCAGAAATAAATTCCAGAGACAGCTTATATCAGATATCACTGAAGACGACATCAACAATTACTCAACGTTAACAAGGAAACCCAAGTCCGACTATTATTACAAATAGTCACCTTTTTTTTTTTTTTCTTCCTGCCCTTTGTTCTGCCGCCACATATCTGTAATCTTTCTTTATTCATCAACTCCTCTGCTTGCGCTCATTTTTAATTGTCCCCCCCCCCCTCCTTTTCTTATATCTGAAGCTTTTCAATCTCATGCAAGCTGTTGATATGAAGGCATACTGCTAAAAAAATCCATCTGCTACAGGACCATATAATTTAGTGTAAGAAAAAAAAAAAAGATATATCAAGTTCTAAGTTTATTTAAGAATGAACAACGTTCCTTTAGCTAGGTGCTAATGAAATTTATAGGTAAAGGAAAAAATATTTTAAAGGAATTCTTAAAAAAAATTCACTGAATTATTGAAAATGATTGTTTTAATAATAGTCTGACAATACAAACTTTTTTATACTGAAATTTGTTATTTGCTTAGTTATATTAATAAATCAAGGAGTAAAACTAAAGAACAATTATTTTTAAGTTAAAATTCTTCAAAAGAAATCCTTGATATGTCTCCTTGATTTTGTAATATTAAATAAGTTTTTTTTTTTTATTATTGATACAGTAACACGTATTTAAAATATATACATACAGAAGCAAAAATAAAGGTTTAATTCAGTATTTGAAATTTAAGGAAAAATAAACTTAATTTTTTTAAATTGGTTTCTGTGCTTTGTCAGTTTTATATTTTTTCATATTTTTTTTTTATTAAATTTTGCTGTATTCTTTTTTGCTTTTTTTTTTCATTTTTTTTTTTTTTTGCTTCACTTTTTATCTTTCATATTAATCTGAAAGAAAGTCCTTTCCAAATTTCTCTTGGACCATTACATATTTAAGAATATATAACAAAATGTATACATGTAAACATTACAAATAAAAAACAAAAAGGAAAATCTTATTAATTTGTAAGTCTTAATTAAAAAAAAAGTAATATTTTATATTAGTTTTAATAAACAATATAAAAATAAATAAAAATTACATACAAAAATTTAAACCCATTTTAAAATTCAATTCTAATTTCTTTGAAAAGATTTTCTTTTCTAAAGATTATATTACAAGTAAAAACAATTAGTTTATAAATTTGTATTAAAAAGAAATTAATCTTATGTAAAATTTATTTAAGTCTTTTGAATAAATTGATATTCTGTCTTTTTTTATTTTTCAAATCAAACATACTAAACTGTTGTATTTTTAATGATTTTCAGATTTTTATTCAGTTTCTGTAATAACAATAAAGAAAATAGTTTTAAATGCCAGATAGAAATACTTTCTTTCTTAATACCTTTTCAACATCTAAAAAAAAATTAATTTCTATATATAATTTCTATATATAATTTCTATATATAATTTCTACATATAATTTCTATATATAATTTCTATATATAATTTCTATATATAATTATATTAATTTCAATATAAATCAAATTCTATAATAGCAATAAAGAAAATTATCTTGTTTTAAATATAAGATAGAAATACTTTTTACTTAAGACCTTTTCAATATTTAAAAAAAAAATCCAAACATTTTTTGTTTATTTTTTAAATTTTCAAAGAAAAATACAAGTTTATTTTTGCTACTACAGCATTCTTTTACTGCTGTATATTTAGTAAGTTTAAAGGATCTTCTTTTTAAATTTTATATGAAAGAACTGACCAGAAAATACAGTTTTTTTTGTTTTGTTTTTTTAAATTTATAATTATAGTTACTCGTGGTTTATTTAAATTTTCTCATTAAGAAAATTTTATAAATTAATCAAGCATTTGTCAATCTTGAAAAACAATACACTTTTGATCTTATTGTTTTAAATTTGCAAAGAAAAAAAAACAAGCTTACTTTTACAGCTACAGCATCATCTTTTACTGCTATATATATATTTTATGAGCCTGAAGAATTTTTTTAAAATTTTCTGAAATTGCTATACACACAGTTGGCATAATGAACAGCCCTTTGTTAGGAGCTAATATCTTTATATTTTTTTATTATTTATTCTTTTTCCTTGGCGTATTCTTTTTCATTAAGGTCCTCTTTCAGCTTGCAATCTCACGTGGCTTTTTCGACAAATGTAAGAATAAATAACAAAAAAAAAAAAATTTGACAAAATGGGGGGGGGGTCTCTTTCAAGTACATTTTAATTTTATTTTTAATCCTTAAATCGATTTAAAACTGATGTCTTCTTGAGAATTTCAAAATACCAGTTCACAGAATGATTTTAAGATCATAGTTTTCACATAATTCACACTCCTCCCTAGTTTTTTGCACAGGAGTAGAGGTTTATCCCTTGTTTCCTTTTTAGGATTGGGTTTCCAGTTCCTTCTTAACCTACTTCAACTCTATACTTCTCCACCTGAACTCTGAAATTTTAATTCACTAATTAAATCTTGACATTTTCAAGTCGAGAGTTAACTGTTATCTTTCCTGCATAGACCCAAGAACTTCACTTCTTGTCTTTTCTTATGCTCATACAACACCACACAGTAACCCTCTACCTTGAGTGGCTCTTGGTATTGGGTGTACATTAGTTAAGAAAAAGAAAAATTATTTGTTTTTAGCCATTGTGGTTTGATTAGCCTATTAAAAAATGAGTCTCTCTTACAGTTTAATTTTTTTTTTTTTTTTCAAATCAATCAGTATTTGGTCAAAGTACCAACAATATTTATGACTTCTTTCTTTAATTTGGATATGCCATCATTGCAAAGACTGATAAAAACAAAATATAATATGTAAAATTATTCTTTTTCCAAACGTGGATGTTTTTGTGAGAACTTTTCCTTCTTGGGTGAGACACTTGTATATCTTGTTGTCTCTATATATGAGTGAACATCTTAATCACAGCTCAGTCAACCACCTATTTAAATGTCAGTGGCAGCCAGAGGCATCCTTTGAATCTATACCTGCTGGCTATATGGTTTCCTTGCAGGCCAACCCTCTCATGCACCTGTCTTCTCTAATGTTCTGGTGTGACACAGAGTGCAAAGTCTGCTTTGATATCTCTTAGAGCAAGCCCAGTACATATTGGAATTGTTACAGATCAACTTTTCTTAGAATAAAGTTTCTTTTATTGGCATTAGATTCAATTCTGACCATCATCTGGTATTTTCTGGTGTGAATCACAGACTACAAATAAATACAGGGTGTCCACCAAAAACTGAAATCATTTAAAATGTGAATATCTAAGTAACTCCATGTCTCAGACAAACAAAATTAAATCTTTTATTGTTCAACATGAAGCCTATTTATCGAAATTTAAACAAGATATTTAAATGGATGTAGATTTTGAAACTGGCTTCACAAAGGTTCAATATATGCACCACCTGTGACACACGTCAAGTCAGTAGTCCAGCTCCTGCCAAACACATTGTAGCATGTCTTGTGTAACATTCTTCAGCACCTCAGTGATTCTCTGCTTAAGTTCCTATAGGCTTGTAGGAAGAGTTGGGATATAGACCTGTCCTCTCACATATGCCCATGGAAAATTTCACAACTGTTCAATATGCATACTACCGGTGACATGGCAAGTAAATAGTCCAGCTCCTGCCAAACACTCTGTATCGTCTTGTGTAACCTTCTCCAGTGCCTCAGTGATTTTCTGCTTACATTCTCTAGGCTTGTAGGAAGAGATGGGGGGATATAGACCTGTCCTTTCACATATGCCCATAGAAAAAAATCACTAGGTGGCAAGTCAAGTGAGCATGATGGCTATTTCAACAGCACATTGTCATTATCACTGGTACACCTGACCTATCTTCCTGGTAGATTCTCATTGAGATAAGTCCACAGTCAACTTAGTTTTTACACATTTTGTTAAAATTTGGAATCATTTGAGTGAGAATTGGCCATGTTATTAGACTATGAAATTATGTTAGTTTTTGTGCGGACAACCTGTATATTCCTATTACTACTCAGACACTTGGATCTGTTCTTGATATAATTGATCTTTTCAGTAGAATGTTTTGGTTGGCTAATTCTTCAGTTGTCATCAGAAGTAATTCTACAAGACAGATGATCTGCTTTGATTCTCAAAGAAAAAAATAAAATTCCAAATAGCAACAGAGAAGTGGTCACTTATATACCAAGCAAACCAAACCATTACAGCAACATGCAGTTCACCATACTTCTACTTACATGGATGATTCTAAACTATATATATTTGTTCTGTGTCTACTTTGCTAAACAAAGGAAGGAACATAATGTTGATATCCAAAACTGTAAGGGTGGTAGCTCCTGTTAGGGTCCTAGATATGGGTTGATAGTGAACCCCCAAACAAAAAATGAAAATAGTGGGGAAGTATCTGTTTATATTTCTGTGATGAGGTATTGTAATTATTTACATTGTTCAGACTGTTGTCCTCATCTTTACTGCCATATTCACAAAGTTTCAGCTGTTGTATGCCCCGGTCTTCTTCAGGGGATTGGAATTTTGAACTGAACCCTTTATTTCATCTACCAGGGTAGATTGTTCTAGTTCCATGTGCCGGAAGTCTGTTATCTCCCTTTAACTCAACTCTCCACGTTTTTGTTCACAACTGCAGTAGCCAGATATTGAACTCACAACTCTTTGTGTCAAGTCACTGAATCCGACCAATGCTTTTATCCCAATGGATAAAAGTGGATAAAATGGTTCAATTCATATCCATAAAGTGGATAGTGGTTCAGTTTGAAATTCCAATCACCTGAAGAAGGCTGGGGTGTATAACAGCCAAAACGTCATGGATATGGCAATAAAGATGAGTACAACAGTCTGAACAATGTAAATAATGTAAACTGGGAAAGTATAAAAATACATTTTTGTTATGAAATTACATTTTTATAGCAAAATGACCAACAATACATTTTATAGTAAAACTGAAGACATGGAATAGATTGTCAAAGTAACTAAATATAAATAAATTTGCTATGATTAATCTCATTTCTTGTAAAGAGAAACAAGTTTTCACTCCCTGTTTGTAAGATTATTTGATATAAAAAATGCAGCTAATGTCATTCTCTCAAATTATAAAGTTTGAATTTTC